CGGACCGTTGTCAGTGACTAATGTTTTCGGCATGCCATGTGTAGATAGACTAGAGCGTACGCCATTGATTGTAGCTTCTGCAGTAGCGTTTGCAACAACATGCACATCAATCCATTTGGAGTACGCATCTACTAAAAGTAGCAACATTTTTCCTTCCATCGGTCCAAAGTAATCGGCGTGGACACATTCCCATGGGCTGTCGGGCAACTGCCAAGGGTGAATTGGGCCAGTTGGATTATCTCTTTGATATTTTTGGCATGTGTTACAAGTACTCAAAAGTGCTTCGATGTCTCGGTCAATCGCTGGCTACCAGCAGTAGGATCTGGCGAGGGCTTTCATGCGGACAATACCTGGATGTGCATCATGTACTTCTTTCAGTACAGCTGACCTGAGAGTCAATGGAATAACGATGCGAGATCCACGTAGGATACATCCTTCATGCAGGCTCAGCTCAAATCTACAATTGAAAAAACGGACGCAGATCACCAGGGGCTCGCGAACCCCAGCCACGCAGCAGCATACGTTTCACAGTCGATAGAACGGGATCTCTGTCTGTAGCTTTCCTAACCGTGTCGCCAGATATGGATGTAGTATTCAGGTGTTGCAAAAGTTGAACAAACTCGTAGGGCGCGTCACTTCCTTCCTCCTGTTGGTCAATCTGTGGCAATCTACTGAGCGCATCAGCGACATTATTATGAGGACCGGCAATGTATCGGATTTGATAATTGTAAGCAGAAAGTAGGAGGGCCCAGCGTACCATTCGGGGTGCGTTAAGTTGTTCTATGCCTCGTTCCTTACCGAGAAGTGATAACAGTGGTTTATGGTCAGTCTGTATCTCAAACTGGTTGCCCCACAAGTACTGATGGAACCGCTTTACTCCGAATACTACGGTCAGTGCTTCCTTGTCTAATTGTGCGTAATTTTTCTCAGCAGGTTGTAATGTGCGGGACGCGAAAGTAATAGGGCGAACTGTTCCGTCGTGGACTTTATGTCCCGGTACTGCCCCGACTCCAAAAGGTGAAGCAGCACACTGTAGGATGAGGGGTTTGTTGGGGTCGTAATGGACCAAGACTGGTGAAGAAGCAAGGAGACCTTTTGCCCTGTCAAATGCCTGTTGCCCTTCCTCGCTATATGCCCAGTTAGAATCTTTTTTCAGCAAGTTGTGAAGTGGTGCTAGAACAGAAGCAAGATTAGGTAGGAACCGACGATAATGTGAAAGCATTCCAACGAACGAGCGTAACTGGGCTCCGTTACGAGGTGAGGGTGCAGAAATAATGGGTTGTAATTTATCTTTCCGCGCGTGTAAACCATGCTTGTCCAGTCTATAACCGAGGTAGTCAACTGAATCAACTAGGAAAGCACATTTGGAGCGTTTCAAACGCAAACTGTGTTCAGAGAGTTTATGCAACACCCGGTCCAACGTGTACAAGTGCTCCTTTTCTGTGCGAGCCGTGATAAGGATATCATCGAGATATGCGCAAGCGTTCGGTATGTCACGCACGATATTGTCAGTCATCCTTTGGAAAATCGGCGGCGCTGAGTTAATCCCGAAAGGCAGTCTAGTGTATTCGAATAGTCCCAAATGTGTTCTGATCGTCGTAAGACGTCGGGAGGTCTCATCCAACTCTACCTGCGAATATGCGTGACTCAAATCCAATTTAGTGAACTTGACTCCTCCAGACAAGTTGGCATACAAATCCTCAATTTTCGGTAATGGATAACGGTCTATGATGGCACCTCGATTTACTGTAAGCTTATAATCACCACAGATTCGTACGTTACCGTCGGGCTTAGGTAGAGGCACTATCGGGGCCGCCCATTCAGCTTGTTGGACTGATACAATTATACCTTCTCTTTGAAGCCTTTTCAGCTCGTCTTCCACTATAGGTCGTAAGGAATAGGGCAGTGTTCTGGCCTTAAAGAACTTTGGTGTACTTGAGTCTAACATATGGATTTTTGCTTTAAAATTATTGAGTTTGTCCAGTTGCTGCTCGTCAAACACTTCTGGATATCGTTTACGGACCGATTCAAAGGTATCCTCCCCCACGGAGTGGATAGTATTTAATACTTGTGGTAACATTTTCATATAATCGCGACCAAGCAAATTGACTGGAGCCTGAGGCACGACATGAAGTACCAGACTGTGTGATCTACCCTGATGCTGCACTCGTACCTGACACTTCCCAAGTAAATCAATCACTTCTCCTGTATAGGTTTTAGAAACGGTATCAGTCGGTTCCAGGTCGGGTAACGAGGAGAGCGCGTTTTTACCAATCAATGTCACCGCGGAACCAGTATCCAATTCAAATAAAACAGGTTCGTTATTAACATAAAGCGTGATCCTATATGGAGACACTTTCGTCATAACTGAGCAGTTTGAAATTATAGGGTTCATAAAATTTAGCTGGGAATCTGGGCACTCACCGTCGTCAGAGTTCAATGATTTGATCGAGACTTGGGACCGTGGGGAACGGCAAACACGTGCCAGATGGCCAAGTTTTCCGCAATTTCTGCACTTTGTGCGAGTATGAGGACACTGGGTGGGAGAAGTGTGCTGATCCCCGCATCGGTAGCAGACGAACTTCCGTACCCTGTTTTCAGAGGATAACCGTGGTGACAGTTTGTTTACACATTCCACAGGCTGAGGAGGGTTGAAGGTGGATAGTTGGGATTTTAGGTTTTCCCTTTGCCGTACAAAGTTACACGCCATTTCCCAGGAAAGGGTTGCTTCCTCCTGTGACAATAATTTTTCCCTCGCACCATCATCTGTAACTCCACCAATTAGGCACTGGATTTACATGACTTCTTCAAACCGACTTGAGGGAATGGTATTGTACCGGCAGTCCGGTGTAGCTTGATGAATGCGGGCAATGAAATCATTTACACTTTCTCCACATCGTTGCTGTAGCTTGAAAAACTGATAACGAGCGGAAAGCACACTTTGTTGGATTCTCCACAATTCCTCAAACAACTAGCTCACGTGCACGATACTGGTCTTAGCCATCAAGTTCATAGCGTCAAAATGACGTTGTCCTTCTGATCCAAGGGCTTGGCGGAATAACATAATCCAATGGGTATCGGATAACACGATAGTGGGGTTTAACACAGGAAAGAGAGTCATTTGATGTTGGAAAGATTTTTTCCACTGTATCCACGACTGTAGCGAGGGAGTTTCTGCACCATCAGGCCACAGACATGACAGTCCCGCAAGAGGGCTCGTAGCAACCGTCGCCATTCTGATACGTATTACTCGAGTATTGTTGGATCGCACCTGGACCCTTAATCCGCGCAAGAAGTGAATAAGAACACACACCGGATGGGACGTGTCAAAAAGCTGTAATGGATAGCTTGTAGGTTACACCAGATGAATAAGTCGAAAAGGAACCAAGCAGCACAAGGAAAAAGAGTGGACGAATCAGCTATCGGTCAATCGATCTGTATGTGTCTGTGTTTGCTCATCGGCTCAGCGGTTTAGCGGACGACACACATGTAATAGTCCGTTTATAAGAAAACTTCACAGCCTTTATTTTGTAGAATATAGGCATCTAAAACACACACAGAAAGTAATAATAAACAATGTGTCAGCTGTACTTCTTAACGGCGTTTCGCTGTCGTGCGACCAACACCAGTTTCACGCGGGCTGAGTATACCGAAATGATACCTACCCCTACGCGGATTTGAACCCACGCAAAAAATTACGAGACAAACTTGTTACCTCAAGCTATTGGCCGACACAGTGGAATGGAGCGAGAAAGAGGGTGTTGCGAAATGATTTGGTCTGTGGAAAGGGTAAACGAATCTACAGATTTTGTAATATGGTTAAGGATAAACTGGGGTCGGGAAGATGTGAGAATGACCTAGGCCACATATGATCACTTCTTTGGCAAATTTTGGCTTTCACGGTAAGTATATAGGCCTGCTCATCGGAGCGCCTTTTCCGTGGTACACTTGTATAGTCGTAACTCTCATCAATTTGAAGCGGAAGTTTTCATACCTTTCCTCTGTTATGTTAACTAAATCATTTTGAGCAGTCATATCCATCTAAGGCAAAAAACATCAGCGGTGCGCCGGTACGCAGTACTGATGTTTCCTTGCCACGCAACACTTGGGCAAAGGATACCACGTGGGTTCTTATGTCACTACGCAGGCGCAAACCCGCGCCTTCGGATTACAAGGCAGGCTTGTGAACCTTAATGCTACGGGTCGGCAAAGGAAAACATGTACTGAGGGATTTCGTTATTCTAAAGTTGTATACTGACCATACGCCACTTAAATTCTCCCATCACTACTGCCATATTCTTGTGAACATATCACATGACATTTGCCAAAACGCATACTCTCCTGGAGCAATAAAAACAATATTGGTATACTTGTGTAACAACTGTTCATGACTACAGATGTTCGTTTTGCTCAGGTCGTTCACTGAGGTTTGTTTTAACGCACCATTTAGCTAGCCTTATTGGCTATTTAAAGTCGTTGTTCCTGTCTTCCGATTCCAGCCCTACTCAAACCTTAACACTCTAAAGTTTCCTTTTTTGTATACACTTGACTGGTTTGTTAGTTGTCTAATTTTCATTGGTTCTACTTATCCGCACACTTTCCGTACTCTTGTTGGTTTTCATGTTTGTGTGCTTCGCTAAATAATAAAGTTGTTTCCCTGTGTAAAAGAATCTGAATACCCCTCCTGCATATCTGCGTTCTCGTGACTGTTAGCCAGCGGAAGCACTGTAGAGACCCGACACAACACACTCGCTGGTGTTCTGTGCGCAGTGGCTCACTTGTTGCAACGACCTTACCGGTCGGCCAAGCTTTTATCTTGTGCCATGAACCATTGGCCGTGCATATGGTGTGGAGAGCTTGGGGATACATTGCTGCTCCCGCAGTTCCTTGTCCGCTGTAAGCGACAGCAACAGTCCCTGGCGTCATTGCAAGTCTCGGTTCATGTGAACTACCCCATCACTTTTTGCTTTTGAGCTTCCCACCCTCCATTTGTTTCACAGTTGCTAGCAAGTGCGTCCTACGTCTACCCGAAGCCCAAGTACACTTGTTCATATGAGCCAAGACCGCTGGCTCAGCACATGAGTCTCTATCGCCTACTACCGAAAAGGCCAGTCCTCGACATTGACATACTGTGGCACATGAACCAGCACAACAAACTAATAAACACGCTAAACAGTGGATACGACAATTGCGAGTACAACGGATACATTCTATTCCAACAACGTAAGTCCGGAGCTTCCAATCTAGAAATGGAAGTTTCCTGATTGATAAAGTTGCCAGTAAACCTTAGTTACCCTATGTGATCCATTGTGAAACTCTTAAATAAGCTAACTGACCACTTTGGAATCATCATTCAACTTACCAAAACACATAAATAAGTTATTGAGCACTAAGTCCAAAGCAGCTGAATTCCTAGATCAAGTCAGGCCGGGACCCTAGGAACCGTATAGTGTGTCTTCTTAGAGATGTCCAGCTTTGTTTTCCAGTTTGTAGTCCACGGCCCCCCCCCCCCCCGAACAGATACTCAAAGCTAAGTTGTTTGATAGCAGACAGTATTTTTAATGTGCAACCTTTGGCGAAATGAAGACATTCAGATCAGTGGACTGATCAAACAGTGTTAGTCTTGATATGCGAAAGTTTAATGTTACATAACGTCATCCTTTAGAATTAACCGAGTTGTTAACTGCACAGTCTAATGCAACATGCCAACAGGTGTTATGCATGAAACAATTAGGAGTTACCAGTTGTGCACGGCCGCCCCAGCTTCTGCCTGACGTCTGACTCAATCTCTCAAGTTCACTACGGCTTGTGATTGGTGCATTACCTCCTCACTTCCTATTGGTTGACACAGCTGAGTGATCTTTGTGTTCTGGTTAGCCTAGACCTAAGGACAACTTTTGGCGGTTTTGCTACAGCAGCTTGTCCTAGTGGCAGGTAAACAACGCAGTTTTCCGATGCATCCTGCTCCGACTTATCATTGTTATGTACATTACCGGGGTAGATGGAAACATTGCACTGGGTTGATGTAATATTAGGACTGGCTTACAATTTGCGAGAGGTTGCTTTGAACCATCCCATAGAATGAGTCTATGAAGCACCTATTTAAATAATTTACCACCTCTGTTTCTATTCGCCCATTACAGATTGATGAGGACGCAGCATCTCACTTCTTTCTACCTTAATTGCAACAGAATTGATAATAAAGTACTCAATGAATACATTTATATTATTCCTACACAATGTATTCGGTCATGGTAGGGTAAAAGTTCATTTTGCCATTTGGTCCGGCAGTATCTAATGGCAAGAGTTACCCAACCCTCCGCAGAACAGAAACACATCAAGGATGACAAATAGGAACTGCTATTACCTTGATTGGTTTGCTGTTGCTGAATAAACGCTTGTCCCTGGAACACAAACGACCCGTCCAGCCTTTGTTAGCAGCGGAGCAGAGCAATGCATTATCAGCGCAAAAACCGGTTGTTGAGTGGCAGGACAACGAGGTGGCGCGATTCAACTGGATGCTGTTGATTGCTGAATATTTGCCAATTGAGGCAAAAATATCAAAAGGATCCCACCATTGTGCATAACTAGGCAACGCGTTCAAAATAAGGCACCAATTTAATTACGCAGGGGGTCTTGATTGCTCATGGTCCAGTGGCATAAGTCACTGACTGCGAGTCAAACATCTTGGGTTTGAGTCCTGAGAAACTGGAGGGAAATGCGAGGGGCTGACAATGTTCAATGTGGAGAAACTGTAGCCTGGTGCTGTTCAAGACCTTTATGTCTTCAATAAAACCAGCCCTTCCACTACTTTAGGCCAGTAATTCCTCGGCTAGCTTCTGATGCCACAAGGTAGCTGGCAGATTAAAGAGCCAAGTCGTGCTTCTGGTAGCCAACCTTTTACTCTATTCGGTAGTAAAATACATATGAGCGAGGGAGCAGATGCGATTTATCGCAGTTACCAGCTTGGTTATGTAGATCACCGCTTTTACTCTTGGTCTAGTGGAACATACCATTGAGTACATCTTGGAAAGGTCGTGGGTTTAGAACTTGAAATACTCGAGAGGAAATAGCACTGCTATTGTCGTGCTTGGTTATCATAAGCCACGGTCTGCCAGGTCATGCAAGTGACTCATGTGTTTGAATAAACGTCCGTGTTCTCTAGCGAATCAGTGCTTTGGTTGTGTGTACACATTAAAGGTGTATCCTTTGCGGTTCTGTGTTCTTACTTACGATACTGGCTGCAGTTGGATCGAAACCATGACGTCTATCGGAAAATTGGAAGAGTGCACTGAAGGATGCGGTTCGTGAAACCATTTTATCGAGCGTATGAATTGTTTTTTTCGCCGCTAATGAAATCATCAGTGACAAGGGCAAAGGGAATATCCTACTAAACATACGAATTAGTTCTCTGCTCGGTGACTCTCAAGTTTCCATGCACCACAAAATGACTGTACTGGCCACACTGGTTTCCAGTCATCATAAACGAAAACCAGCAGTAACTGAGCAGCGATTTAAATTCAGTACCCGAGTCCAGGGTGAGAGGGAGTCCGTTGCAAGTAAGAACACGAACACGCAAAGGACACAACTTTGAGGTGTACACACGACCAAATCAGTGGTCCGCTTGAGAACATGGGCATTTATTCCCACACATGAGTCACCTGCATGACCAGACAGACCGTTGCTCGTGGTAACCAATCCCAACAGAATCCCCACAGAATCCCAACAGAACTAATCCCAACAGAATCCCAACTCTCTCAATTGACTTCCGTTACAGGAGGTTCCGAGTTACACACCAGCTTTGAGGAAGCTGATGCACGTAATATATTGGTTGGATGATTCGCCATTGACAGTAAGGGAAATAAATTCAGAAACACGGATCTACTCTGAACTGTTGAAGATGCGGGATTGTATCCGACCTAGTTGCCTGGATGTGGTAGACAAGGGTCTATGAGACGTTCGCACTCGAAGCGATCCGAACCTCGAAGAAGGCTGTGCACTTTGAAACTCTCGAGTCGTCGTCCCCAACCGGCACCGTCAAACAATCCTGTGGGAACTTCATATGCATCACCAAGGAAATTCTAAGATGAAGGCACTAGCGCCTAACTACATCTGGTGACCGGGAGTCTATCAAGAGATAGAACAATCGCACAATTGCTTGTTTGCTACCATGAAAATAACTCATCCACACAACCTGTGCCGATGTCTTCATGGCAATGGACCTAGCGCTCGTGGGACAGAGTACACGCTGACTTCAGTGGATCCTGTCGTGTTGCCTTCCGGGAAGCAAAAAGACTGGGCCGCCATCACGAGTCGTTTATGAAGATTATGCTTGAATAAGTATATAGTTTACGCACTATTTACAACAGTCAATTTCAGTGGCTCATCCCTGTTAGTTGCATTGTGTCGCTGGCTCCTTTTCCATTGGTTTTTGCTTGTGCGCCACGTTCATTGTAAAATTACCTTGACTTTCTTAGTGGAGGTACGATTGGCGGGATTGGGTCCGCGTGCTTCTTCCCTCTGTCCAATGCCACAAGCCTTGGCTCAAAGGTACAGGAGTATGAGCTCCATCGCCTGCTGGCGTCTGAGTGCTCACTTGCACGTTCAGTGAATGGTTGCAGGCTGGTCGCCATCACGGGCCAACTATTTCCTGATTGATTGACCAATCGGCTTCCGTCAACATGCTCACTCGCTATCGGTCTGGCCTGTGACGTTCGATCGGCATGACAGCATTTCCAATCACCAGCATTTTCAGCCCCCATCACAGACCCATTGACGGCTTCATGGCACTGGTTGTAGCGGACGCCCATTCCAAATGGATCGAAACTCGGGCAACCACATCCATGACTGGGTCAACCCAGTCTTAAGTAATACCTTCGTTACACACAGTGTACCACGTACGGTTGGCTTAGATAACTGCCTGACATTTAGCAGCGACCAGTTCAGACACTGATTACATCAAACTGGTATGGAGCATATTCTCTGTTCACTATATCACCCTTCGTCTAATTGTCTGGCACAGATCGCTTGTGACAAGCAACGAACAATCCACCGTGTGAATTTCTGATGGTACGACATCTGCGCACGCGGTTGTTTCTGATTACACCCAATCTGCATTGAGAGGTCGGTTAACGCCAGTCTTTGATGAGACGATGCTACGACATAAAAACGAAGGATAATGTGATCGAGGCAGGCCACAGAGTGTACGTTAAACTGAGGCCAACGGATAAAACTTGGCTCCGAGGGATTACGAGATCAAAAAAGGTAGTGCAGTGACAGCGCAGCTGGAGGATGTGCGAATAATTCAACGCCATTTAGACTAAGTGTGACGACAGCCTGTGAGTCCAGAAGAGGAACAAGCAATTAGCTCCTCGCCTACATCCCTACGAATATCACCGGATGAGTAGCAAAATGAGACGGCGCTGCAACACCCAAGCACGTATTCACTTGGTGAGAAGCAGAGCGTGGTACGTTATCAAGCTGCATACTCTTAATCTAGCAGTGGGGGATTGTTTTGATTGGTTATCACGAGCCACGATCTGATTGGTGAGGCATGTGACCCATGTGTGAATAATTGTGCATTATCAAACGAAACAAACCTTGGTCGTGTGTACACATTACCTCCGTGTCTTTACGTGTCCGTGTGCTTGCAATAGCGTTGAAGGTCTATTGCCACGACTCTAAAACTTTGCGGGTCGTGGATCCCTTTTAGTGGAGGCTTGCATGGCGGACCCCCTGAAATATCCTTGACAGCAGGACTAGGACTTAATGGAAGGACAGAGGGGGAGTGTCCCGAAAAGGTTCAATGCTGTGCAGGGGAGGCTAAATTAACAAGAGTAGGTATTGATGATAGTAAATAAATATGGAATATGGTTAGAAAAAGCAACGCACATTAATTCATAATATGTCCGATGAAATTGCTTCTGACGTGCAACGCTGTCTTCGCTGAGCCTTGGTGTTATTGCGAAAAGCTGTAAACTCATGTCTGGTTCAGTTTAAAGTTTATGGAGGTACTTTGTTTTAGTATATGGGAAATGCGAAAATCCACTTTCACATAGAAATTTGTGGCAAGTGGGGGGGACAGCTCTCTTCGATATGCCGAGATATTTGTCCGTAGTTTTAAACCAGAAAGCAGATAGCAACAGTTTGTGAAACTCTTCCTGAAGAGAGGAATCAGACATAATGGGGATGAATTTCTAATAATGAAGTGGTGCAAGTACGAGGAGGCGTTTTCATACATGTAAATGCGTTCTTGAGCCATGAAAATTCTTTTAATTTTTCCTCATCGCCGGCGAAGTACCGAAACAAGGCTTCGGCCAGATGTTCCAAATGCCGCACAATTTCGTCAGAACGGATCTCTGGAATTTCTGTGACCCCCTTCATTTCCTTTCAAATGTCTTTGAGTTCGTAATGCTATAACATCTCCACCGCGAACATAATGCACCCAAAATTATAACTTATTTTGCAACTTTGAATTTTCGCTTTTTCTTTAATTAGGGTCGTAGATTTTTCATGCAGTGTCACACTCACATCATTCATTTTTGGGAACATCTACCACCAATTTGGTAAAACTTGCTAACCACTTTCTGTCAGTAATCTAGGACGGTAAATCAAATTGGCGCTCGATAAAGAAGGCGATGTCTGTAAAAAATTCTAGCAAGAGCAGTAATATTTTGCAACGGGCGAATCATATTGCTTCAGTGTGCATCATTAAACATGTGCAAACAGTTCCTGGGTCATCACGCAAAATTTTGAAAAAGCAGTTGTTCAGAGGCCGAAATTCAATGCAATTAATTATTTTCGTTGCCTCATCCAGGACAGTTTTGAGATTGGGTGGCATATTCCTAATGACAGGTGCCCGTCGATAAAGAATAGATTATGCAATGGTGAAGCATTTTGTAACTGTTTTGATTCAAGTCACATGTTTCTTGCCATTGCTTTGGTACTATCAGTGCAAATCTCCATACAGTTGCCCCGTGGAAAGTTATACTCGTGCATAACATTATTCACGATGTTGTACATCTCAGCGCCCTTAGTGCCCTTCGGTACAGGCTGACACAAAAGCATATCTCCTTCCAGAGATAGTTGGCGTTAGTATCTTACAAACGCAAGAAGCACGGCAAGTCCACCCACTTCACTCGATTGATC